TTGCTTTGTTGTTTTCAATGCATTTAGAAATAAATCACTTACTCTAGTCTCATCCATTAATACAAAGTTATTACAGCTTCAAATTCTCTTTTGGTTGGATTCTATATGCAAGTAAATATGTAAATCATTGAAAGTATACTGTGTGTAAATCTCCAGGCTTGGTCAAGGACGCCCTAAAGCAGCAGTGCTTGAGACCTTTCACATTAAGCTACGAAGACCTTTGTGTTAGTTATGAAACCTCTCTTTCTAAATGTACACAAGGTGAAATGGTGACTATTACAGTTAAGTTGGTAGTAGAAGGCTTACGCCTGCTCTGAGCAATACCCTCAATCTCAAAGTGTTTCCTAGACATCTTCTCAGACACCTACTGTGCAACGGAGCAGTTTGAAGACCAGAGCCCGACAGCTGAAGTACAGTTTCAGCCCTGCTGTTTCTGGGTGATGAAACAGGTCACTTTAATCTTAATTATCCACTTTTATTGACTGGTCTTGCCACATGCTCAACTAGGATGTCCTGTGTATTCAACAGCATCCCATCGAGACTCGAGAGTGTATATCTTGTGTCCTTAGGTACAGCAACCTTGTTATTACAGTTAGCACGCAGATTCTCCTAATTCAGCTCTGCCTCTCTGGCCTGCTTTCCACACAGTTCCTCTGTCCAAGAAGCCTGGTGAAGCTGCCCCTCCATTGTCCCAGCTTTTAGCCACCACAGTCAGAATTCCAGCACCCAAGCCAATCAGATGCAGGGGCCAGAGTCAGCCATAATATCACTGTTATATTTCAGCCCATCTACCCACTAATCTGTGTCAGATTGGTCTTTGTGGACATTAGTTAGGATGGCACTCTTTCCTCAGACCCTAAATAATCTTTCACCAAGACCAATCGTGTAACTTCTGCTCACTGCCCCTTTTCTATTGGGCTCAGACAACAAGCTGAGGTCCCACACTGGGCTGTCTTTTTATGCTCCTGAAGGTGGCAACCAAACTTCCTCCCTCTGGTTCCGCCCTCAGATTACCTGCTGCTGTTCGCCCAGTAGCCTGGGCCTATTCTTTGATGTGTTTAAACCTCAGTTTGGTCTGAAAGTGGAACCCACCAGATGTCCTAACCACATTTCCTATCAGCTCTCCTGTTTTCCTTAGCATGAAACCATAGAGCTTTTCAGGCCATGGCTTGAAGCCCAGCCCCGGGGCTGCCATGAGCTGGGCAGAGAGATGTGCTCAGGACCTGAGACAGTTTCAGAAAATCCATCGAACTTCTGGTCCTTGGAATGAATGTGCTACCCTAAGGGCAGACATTGTCTCAACTAGATTTCTTGGGAATCTATGAAGAAAACAAACATACAAACAAATGAACCACAAAACATATTTTCTGGTTCCTCCAACAACTCTGACTAGTCTTGAGTGGGCTTTTTTATTCCTTCACTTGGGAGCAAGTTAAATTTGTGTGTTTATTTGTGCAGTACTGAGAAACACAAAAAGAAAGCCTCCCAAAAGATTGCCCTGCTTCTCGTTCCACATATTGCCAACAACCACATGAAAAGGAAAATGTTCTGGAAGACATTGCATTTTGCAGTAGATTTGCCTTATAATGATACTTAAGATTTCATTTCTATTTTAATTACTAAATTCATTTGAGATACACATTTAAAGACCTGGCTGATACGTTACCCTGATACAGCCTCTCCTATTACTGTAGAGAACGTGATTCTGATATATATCAGTCGCGGACATTCCGTGCCTAGGGTGGGGACAACCTGTTGTATTCTTCACTGTTGGTCCTTCTTCTGGTCCTACTGGAGACAACATTAGGGCACCTGAGAGGCTCTGTCAAGGACTTTTCAAGGCTGGTTTCAGTTGTTGGCTGAGTGCAATATTTACATTTCTCCCAAGAGGACCAACCCCAGCAAACTTTCTCCTGCTAATAGCAATGTCAAGATTCTGGCAGCTGCTGGCAACCCTTGGCATTCCTTGGTTTATACGTGCATCCACGTGCATCCACCCTTTGTCCTCACACCGCCTTCTCTCCTCCCTTCTCCCTTTTCCTCCTTTCCCCTCCCCTTCCTTCTCCTTTCCTCTCTTCTCCTCTCCCTCCTCCCTTTCCTCTCCTCTTCTCTCCCTCTTCCCCCTCCTCTTCTCGCCTCACCTCTCCTCTCTTCTCTTCTTCTCTCCCCTTCTCTTCTTTCCCCTCCCTTCTTTTCCCTTCCCTTGTCTTCTCTTTTCAGGATGCTAAATGTAGGACCTACCTTAATCCAAGATAACCTCACCTCAAATCTTTAATTGTATCTCCAAAGACCCCTTTTCCAAATAAGCTCACAGTCATAGGTCCCATATCTCCCCTGCCCAAGGGGGTCAGCCCCATTCGACCACCACAACACGGAAAGGAAATCCTGATAAGAAAGGCAGTGGTCTCTGTAACCCCATAAGAGCAGACAAAATAGACTGGAGTTGTGAACTGGGAGTCGGGATGGTGAGTGACAGGCTCAGTTCTGTGTGTGGATCTCCTCTCCTCTACAGGTGTGAGTTCTGCATCTGTGAAGCAGTGGGTAGATGAGGTCAGTGTTATGGTTCTTCCTTCACAGGAGCAGCCCTTCTCCACCCTGGTTCTCACACGAGCGCATGTGTGTACACAGAGGCGAAGTGCACCCCACCCTCCTACAGATCAGGTCAGACATCTAGCCCAGCTGTATTTTCCACACTGAGTCAAGAATTCACACTTCCTCATCTGGAAGCTAACTTCCATTGTGACGTGTTTGACTTGGCTGGAGAAATAAATGTGCCAGTGCCTGGAAATGCCACACCTTTGTACTCTGACTTTTCCCACAATTTTCCTGGTATCCTGGTTTTTGGAATACTTTACTTTTGTATTTCCCAGTTATGTAGTTCAGTCTCTGGCCAACTGAGCTTTCTGTCCTAAGAGCAGCCCACATCTTGGACGGTGTCCCTGGCTCTCAAATGACCTCAGGGGAAGGTGATAGATAGGAAGAGGATCACGGACATCACCAAGTATCATTTCTTTACTCCTGATGTCCGATGGCCATGCACTAGAAATTACAGGGCAATCCCACTCTAGGAAACCTGTGCAGCATCTAAATTTGGTGACTTCACTAATCTTTTTATCCCGTGCTTCCACTTTGTCATGGAAACAAAATTGTACACCATGGAGAAGAGATGCACAACTTTTACTGTGTGTTCGAATTTGTCTCAAATGTCAGCCCTGTGAGAACACCAGGGAGCTGCCACATTGTTCACAGATGGACCCTTGGCGCCCAGCTCAGGGCGTGACAACTGGTGGGCCTCTTGCTTTTCACATTTCTGGTTATGAATGAAGATGAAAGAGTCAGACTCCTGGAGGAGTTTGGGTCTCTGGTAATGTCCTAATTTCCAAATCACTTTCAGTAGCCAGAAATGTGAACATGCTAACACTTCAGTTTTTTGTTAAATAACTAACTGATGAGCTAAAAATAACAGAATGTATCATGGGAATTCAGTTTCTTCTTAGCTCTGTGCTCCTTTTGGAAATTTAAGTATTTTAGCATTCACTTTTCTTAAACTTCTGCCTTTGTCTACCCATTCTCCCTGTGGGGTACCTCTCCCTCCATACCTTCTACACACACAGAGA